TTTTCCCGGAATATAGTAAAAAAAAAAAAAAAAAACCGGTTGCTCGGGAAAGCGAGAGTGTTCCCGCGGTGCGTTGCGCAGTTGAAAATTAAGCTTGAACGCGAACCCCGAGGCTGACGTACGCGCGATCATTACACTCGGCGAACTTACTCGTGCAATTATTCATAAAAAATATTTTGCGCCGCGGAGCACGAGTTACCACAGATTTAAAACCCGACTCGTATACATATATATATATATATATATAATCCCTCGTGATTACAGCAGCGATAATCCCGCGCGCGTTTGCTCCGATCCGTCGCAAATCCACGTAATGAGAGAATCGAACAAAAAACTTCCGAGACGTTCTCTTGCGCGGTGTCGGGACACCATTCGGTCTTTGTTGCACGCATTTACACAGTTATTACAATGTTCATGTGACTTCCGCATACACTTTTCGCGCAATTCTTCATCGCCGACGAGCGGTTGCGCGGACGTGCCGATCAAGAGGTACGCGAAATTTATGCGATCGAGATTTTCATGGAACTCAATATCTCAAGAACGACTCAACAGATCTCAATTTCAGTTTTAGTCTCAATCACTTCAGAACAAAACATTAAAAAAAAAAAATTTGCGGTTTTTTGTTTGTGCTTCTGATTTGGACAAGAGCGACGATAAAGTTTCGAAGTGTGAAATTCACGTTTTCAGAAACATCATTATTGTCGTCGTGCGACCAAAATGTATGCATGTTCGTATGCTTGCTAACAGATGGCATACAGATGGCATACATGTGTCTTTAAAAACGTGACTAAAATAAAGTCACGTGACTTAGTCACGTGACCAAAGTAAAGTCACGTGATTTTAATCACGTGTTGTTTTTCCACTTTTCTCTGTGTCACGTGACACTTTGCTTTAGTTACGTTATACGAGACGCACGAGATTCATTCATGAAACCTTGCGACACGCCGCGCTGCGTTACACGCTCGATCACATAAAGGCGTTCCCGAACGAGTGCTTCGTATAGGTGCGTTTGTTCGTGACGGTGACCGAGCAGCTCACAGAGTTGTGGTGGTGCGTTGCACTCGTATGCTATAGCGAGCGCGTTAGCGCACCATAGAGCGACCGTCTGTCCGCGCGACGACGACGACGACGACGACGACGGCGATAGACGCGCAAGTAGGACAGCACTTTCCCTGAGCAGATTGCGTTCGGCTCGTTCTTTGAGCGTAATGCTCGCGCCGATAAAGTTGCGAGTCCGCGCGTCTCGTAAAAAAAAACATTTCTATTTGTATTAAAAATAAATCTCTTAAACAGTCTTTTTTTCAAAGAGGAATTCTCTCGGTCTTGAGAATAAAAAGAAATGACTTTTTGATTCGATTCTTCAAGTAGCGCGCACGTCTTCTCGCTAACGTTGAGGAGTCGAGGAAGCGGCTGAAGATTTTTCGTTGTGAACGCGACTTCAGACTCGCGCGAGTGTGCAAACACACACGCGCGCACACGGGGCGAGAATGAGAGTTGCTTTAAAGCTCGAGCGGGTTCGACGTAATCGACTCCTCGTCGTGGGAAACGGCTGCTTTTCTTTCCGACTACTAAACCGACCGCGGAGCCATTTTTGTCGGTCTGAGCGCCCGATTAACCGTCTCGATCTCGGTAAAACGAATTGAGGAAAGGCGCGCTCTAATGCGAATTTAATCATGCTGTTCCCCGGATATATCGCAAAAATATATATATATATATATCTCACTCTTTACCGATTTACAATCTTAATATGCAATTTAAATATTTTATTTGATCCATGAAACTTGCGCAACAGCGCAAGTTGAAAATATCGTTCGGTGAGTGAGTGAGTGAGAGAGAGAGAGAAAGAGAGAGAGAGATTAAGACAAGAAATATCACGCTCGAAAGTAATAGATCAAGTGTTTCCTAATTTTTCTGGAGCTATCCGTGTCACGAGCACCGAGCCGGGAAACATTGACGAAACGATAGAATTGTCTTTGGTACGCGCGCCGCACTTTCGTTCGGTTTTGCAAGATGTTCACCGCGTTTTCTGCTCTGATTCTGTGGGGCGTTGCGATCCTTCGTTCTGTCGCTCGACAACACGCGAGAGTGTTCGACACATCCGACGCGTGTTAAAATCATCATCTGCGACGTATGTGAATTTCGATATAAAATAATTACATTTTATACAGTCGCGCGAATTCTACTTGAGATAACGAGGGAGATGAAAGATTGCTAATAAATCGGACGAATTTATTAGCAATTATTTTATTTATCACGCGCGTCCCGAGCGTCGTCGAACTCTCGCGTAAAAAAACGTTCGACGCGAGATTTTTTTCGTCGCTTTTCTCTCGATTAATCTCTCGCGTCTCTAAATTGGAACAAGCGATCGCGCAGATTAATGGCCGATTCGATACATATTTCCTCGGAGAAGACGTTCTCCCCTCTTTATCCCTTTTTCCCGCCCGAGTGACTCTACGTCACTCGGATTTCGATCGATAGACGCGCGCGACGTATCAGCGTGTACGATAGGGCGATACGAACGTTGGATACAATTAAGCGTGATCGATGATACGAACAAGCGGCTCCAGAAGTGCTTAACCGTTCGGCGAGACGGCCAATCCATTGTTGTTGTTTCGAGACAACCGTCTCGTCGATCGAATTAAGTTCGAGAAGCGCGGCGACATTGTCATTTTTTAGCGGGCGCAATCTCGTTTCGCTTCGAGAGATCGAAAAATAAATAACCTCTATTGGTATAATGAATCTTGGCCACGGAATCTGTTAATCATATCCCCCCCCCTCCTCTTCTCCACAAAACCGCAAGAAACACCTTACAAAATTAACGTTGCGATTTGCATTGAGGTTGATTATTGCAGCATTGATTTAAAATCTTTTATTTTTTTTTAATAGCTTACAATTAAGAGAGAGAGAGAGAGGGAGAGAAAGAGAAAGCGTCATTTATTAAGCGCTCCGGGATATCTCCTTAAGCGCAGCAACGTACTTTGTAAAGACATCAGCTTAACTAAAGAGCTAATAGCCATAAGTAACAGCATAAAAAAAGAAAAAGATTTACAAAACAAAAAAATATAAAATAAAATAGAAATAAAAAAAAAAGAAAAAAGCTAATAATACAATAAAGTTACATAATGAGAAAAACAAACAAGAAATCATACAAAAAGAGAGAGAGAGAGAACTATTTATCGCGCCATTTAGGACTTGCAATTGTTCTATAAAAGTTATATTTCTATAAAAGTTTTTTTTATACGCGTCTTTTACACGTCTCTCGCTCGCACAAATGATTAATTAACGCGCAATTGATCGAACCGTGTCTCGGATTCGTCGAATATGTAAAAGTGAACGGCAATGAAAACGCACACCGGCGGCGCGGCGACGGCGGCGGGCGGCGAACGAAAGGAGCGCAATACGAGTTTACGTTCATTCATGGCCTGTTGGCAGCACACGTGTCGACGAACAAAGCGGGATTATTTATAAAGCAAACGAGAAGTCGATCCCGTGTCGTTCTCTCTCGTAAACGAAGTTATTTTCGAAAGTGACTTCGGGGCCCCTTCGAAGAGCGAAGTATAAACCACGTGAAAGCCTGTACCTTGGGAAGAGACGTTCCGAGCTCGCTCGCGTCGATGTTGAAAATTTATTCCCACAATCGCGTAAGAAATGTCGACCGACGTCACGTGCAAGCGACCTCGATCGTTTATGGTTGCGCCAACACGTAAGTTTCTCGTGAATTTTTGCGACCAACTGTCGCGAGGTTTTAAAGAATCGATAAATTAACTTAATATCGCGAACGTGGCGCGTTTAGTTTAGGTAAATCGTCAATTGTGCTACTTAAGTTACGCTTCCCGTTTATTAAGTCTATAGTTCACGTGTTCGTTTTCACGCACTGACAGTGAATTTTGGAACGCAGCCTGTATTGAATAAACGTTTCAACTTGATGGCTACTTTATTTATTTTTTGTATTAAATATTTTTTTCGAGTTTTATATCGTCTACTTATTGAAGCGCAATAATTTAAATTCTCAAAATATTGTTACAACGCGCGGCGCGTTGTCTTGGTCATCACGAATCTCTGTCTGTAGGCCGTGGAAAGCGAGCGAAGCGATTATCGGTCACCGTGCGCGTCTCGAAAATTCCATGTCGGAAGGAAGTCACGTTCCTGGGAAGCGCGTACTCAGCCGGAAGGAAGTGCTCGACGCGAAAAGAGCCCGACTGAGGCGGCTCTTTCTTCGTCGCGAGGCAATCGAATGGGAAAAGTCGCTGCGCGTCCTGGGACACGATTTCATTCCCACGCAACCTTGACCTCCTCGCGTTTCTTTTGGGAGGCCCCCTCTTTTGCGACCTTGAGTTCAAGAGGAAAGGGGAGGATCACGGTATATATTAATTGATCCTCCCTCCTCCGGATATGTCTCCCGCACTTTCACCGCTTTCGATTTAATTCGGCGCCGTCTCTCCCGACGTGTGTCGCGCCAGGAAATGATCGTTAAAACGCTTCACGACCTAGAGACTCGAAAATCCTCGGCTGTTCACGTTCCGCGAGACGCTCGCCTCATGCTGATGCAAATCAGAATTAACAAGTGAATCTGACACTTTATAAAAAAAAAAAAAAAAAAAAAAATAAATAAACAGATATTGAAACAAGGCCGAACTCGATGCGTAGATTTATCGATATAAAAACTCAGTGTTATCGATGATAGAAGCGTTGCGACCTTTGAATCGGGTCTTCTTCGGTGTCATATACAAATATAAAAAAATATTATAAATTTATTAGTGGCGTGACATTGTATTTGTGTACGAAGAGAACTCAAGAGTCAAAGCTATTATTCAAGTTTTCCGTGAATAAATCTACGCACCAGCCTTGAAAAGTGTTTTAATAATATCCGTTTTTTTTTTTGTTTTTTTTAATAAATAAAAATTACTTTAGTGTTAAAATCATCGACAAGATAAAAATTGAAACAAATAAATCCAGTCGAAAAACGTGACGCGTTCATTACTTTGTGTGCTACCGTGTAATGATTTATTATTAGATCCACGTGATCTATGATCCACGTTATCCATGAGAACGAGAGATTTATTATCTATTGAAGGTACATAATACAGAAATACACATTACGCACGCATACATGTACGCTTGTTTCCTTATCGTGACATAAATAAAATATATATCGATATATATCTTACACGTTGACGATGATGAGTGAAAATAAAGTGTGATCCTTGCTCCGTTTTAGACTTTGGTAAAATACTTCGTGCCAAAAGGGGAGGGGGGGGGCAAAAGGGAGAAGAAGTTCACGTGAAACGGCAAAGGAAAAACGTCACACAACTTCCCCGGAGTCTACACTCGGAAGCAGCGATGTCTCAATATACTACGTGAAGTTGCGTCTATTTTTAACACTTCGGTTATTAGCGGGTCGAGACTGTCATCCCGTCCACCGCGACCAAAAAGCCGAGCTTTGAACCGAAGTTGCTTTTAGACAATAATAAAAGCGACAAATAGAGAAGTTAATTAATCGCGACGCAATCGAAGAAAGTTTGCACGGCAGTCAACGTGTTAATTGGTCAAGGACATTGAGATAATAATAATAATGATCTTTTAAATTTGCCTCCGAAAGAAAATTTAATTGTTCGAACGACAAGGAAATGTTGAAACTCGCAACTTTCGTACGTTGGAATGTTACTGCTTCCGATTGTACACCGACGAAAAATGAATAGCGTCGCAGTTTTTGTGTTCGGGAACTTAATCATCTCTCCCCTCTCTCCTGTGCGATTCATTTTTCGTGAACGCAGAGACGTAAGTATTTCTCTCATCTTCTCTGCTGCATTCCCTCGTCATCGCATTCCTATCGCAATCGTAGGTATTTTCCCGTCAATTCGTCACGGTGATTCCTGCGTCATGTCGAAAGCACACTTGTCGTCGAATTACGCTACGTACTTTCCTACTGGACGGCATATTACGGCACTGTGAGAGTCGTTCGCGGCACCTCTTTTCGCGTTTATCGGGCATTTTTTTTTTTTTCGCGTTAACATATCTCATCGATTGGTCTCACTTGAAAATAAATAAATCGCAGTAGAAGTGCGCACATAAATTAATCAAACGTTCTAATTCTAATTTAACTTTCAACAATTTTATTTTGAACAAATTTAATCTTTAATTAAAATTTTTAATTAATATTTAAATTTGAATAAAATAAATAATTGATAAAAAGTTTAAATTGTTACTCGTTTTTAATTTATATGCACACGTACACACAGAATTACAAGTTGTGCAGAAATCGCAATAAAAAACTGTCGGATGTGCGAACATCCGTTTTGACAAACTATCTCGTTACTTGATAAGGTGCTTCTAGCCTTGGTCCTTCGTTCACGACGAGAGTTACTTTCACACGTATAATTCTTCGAAGAAGCGAGAACTCTTTCCGAGATACGCGATAAAGCGTATCTCGTACGGATTCGTTTCACAATTGACGCGATGTTTTCGCGAGAATATTGCGCGTATATACTCTTGCAAGTATGCGCGCGTGCAAGAATGTCGTGTGAATTTTTTTCTCTCACGAATTGACGAATACAAAATTCTTCGAGAGGCAATTTTCATCAATTCGATCTTAATACAAACAAACGCACAGGCACTTATTCAATATTTCAGCGAAGAAGAAAGAGGAATTGGTACAATACTGGACCTAAATTATCGAGGAAAAATCACATTTTTCAATAGTTTTCAAAGATTCGATTATCAATCGATCAGCAACGCTGTTGCATTGTTACGTTTTAGATTGGAAATCAACAACATTTCCACCGTTAATTGCGATAATTCCAGTAATATTATCTCTCTGACACAATAGCGACTTCTTTTTTCATTTCTTGATTGACATTTTTCGATTAATCTTCAATGCCGTTTAATATTTTTCGCTTTATCGTGAAAAGAGCTTCTTCTATAAAGCGCGAAAGAAAAATAACTTGTCAAAGACTAAACGAAGTACCAAGACTTCCCGCAGCCAGAAGCACTTGTAAATAAATTCTATATCTCCAATTAGGATGTACGTAATTCATATGTAATTATAATTTTACATATGTAAATTATAATCATATAGATAATTCAGAAAAAAAAAACATTGTTTCGAAACACGTGATTAGAGAAAACTTCGCATTTCGAAAAATCCAAATTAATTAAATCACTTGAGTAATTAAACACACGACTTCGCACACGCGTGCATGCGTACTTTCGCCGAAACAGAAGACACACATTTACATTCGTCATATTTACGTATTATTTTCAAAATAAAAAAACAACGTTTAAAGATCAATCGTGGAGCTTTTTGTAAACGGAAAATAAGACCGACATTTTTTTTTTTTCTGTCACTCATTTGACTTTCTCGCACGATTGTCAAATGTCGAAACAAAAGAAAACCTTTTTTTTTTTATATAAAAATCAGACAGCACAATTTTCAGTGTATCAAGAAACAAAACGAAAAAGAAAAACAAAACGTCGTCGTTATGAGACGTCGTTGTTGAAACTTCCGAGTTCGGGATATTCCGGATAGCGAATGTGTCCGGAAGTCTTGAGAAAAAAAGTCACGCTGCTCCATGAGACAACTGTGTCAAAGAAATTGATCGACGGGACAACAAGCTAACTTTTGTGTTTTTTTTTAAGGCTGTGCAAAGAAAGAATCGGTGTATGTGCTATCGCATGTAATTCTGGGAGTAAGAAAGCGCACCCATTTGCTTGCGCACACATGCACACAAAACACGAGTGCAACGAGTTGCATTTTTACGTACGAAAACTTATTCGAACTCTGCGAACATCTGCGTTCTGTAGATAAAAAATAATTGTAAGAAAATCAAGGCGTGTCAAAAAGTTGATCGCACCTTTAAACAGGTGGAGTCATCTTTAAAGAACGAGAGCCGTTCGTAGTGTTCGTCGCGATTAAGTGTCAGATCATACGCAGCGAACGGTAGAATCCCGTTTGCCGGGATTTCATTTTTTTGTTTCCAGATTAACTCTGTTGCGCAGATTGCTTGATTGATCCAGATCTCGTTTGTACAGAAAATTGTTTTTTTTTTTACCCTGCAAACACAAAGGCAATAAAAGGATACTCACAAAAAAAAACAGAAACTACTATACTTGAGACAAATTTCGATAATGATACTAAAATGATGAAATGGCGTTGAAGATCGATTAAAAAATTATCAATGAAAAAAGAAATAAAAAAAGGCGTCGCTCTGTTATCAAAGATAATATCACCGGAATTGTCACAATTAATTAATAGTGGAAATATAGTTGATTTAATGTAAAACGCAACAATGTCAGAGTAATTAGTGGACACTAATAAAAAGTTCTTTGAAGAGTATTGAAAAATAACGATCCAAAATAATTTGTGTACACACACAAACACACACACACACAAGTGTGATACCAATTCCTCTCACTCCGACTCTGAAATATCGAATAAATGCCTGTGCATTTGATGAAAACAATAACAGAAAATTTTTATATTTAAGTTGATACGTGCAATACCGTTCTTTGTGCAACGTGTAGTCGAAATCAATGACAATCGTCTGGATCTGAAATTTTCTGTACAAACGAGATATATTTCTGGACAAAAACGGGATCTGTGCGACAATATTCGAACAAATGAAATCCTGGCAATCGGAGCCCGGTCGCAGCAAACGATCAATATTTTCGAGAAATTCGACACATTCGATTTGATTTTCTCGGGGATAGCAGCCGTGCGACGCTCGTCGCGATTTAATTAAGTAGATCGTGCGGTAAAACAACGCTTTTTCAGCGTTCAAGCGCAACGCGAAAAAACAATAGTCTTTTTCCTTCCTCAGCTCGATCTTGTGAAGTGCACTTGTGAGAATCCGTTCAATCAGGACAATTCGGATTTTTAATTCACTATCCACTGCAGAACGCTTGTATCGGCGCCGCCGGTCGACACCAGTCTGGAATCGTCTTGGAGAAATGAGACGTTCGTCACGTGGCTCGAGTGACCGCCGTAGGAATGATATAATGACTGCAATAAAAAAGTAAAAACACAGAACTGTAACTTCTCAACGTAAAACAGATGTTTGTTATATATATTATGACAGTTTTTTTTTTTTTTTAATAGTATTTGCTCCGGACAGAAAAAATACGTGGCATCGTCTCTGCCAGCTGAGACGATGCCAATAAATTTTTACGTTGAATTTTAACTTCCAATATGAACCCTCTCTCTTATCAAAATCTCTCGGTTTTTCTATTTTACCTCTTCTTTCCCACTTTTTAATATTGCGCTTAAAAGTTACCTTCGGCTGACACGCCGGATGAGAGAAGAGTTTGACCTTGCCGAAGTCGTCGCCGGTGGACAGGAGTTTGCCGTCGCCGCTTCGGGTGCAATTGTTCACGTCGGTCCCGTCCGCGCCCTCCGGCCAGATGCCTATCGTCTCGAACGATATCACGCAGGTGTGTGTCGCCCAGTCGACGTTTCTCAGCAGAGAGGCCTGCGGAATTTGACGACACACGCCGGGGTTCCCTGCGATTTTATAACAAAAAAAAAAAAATTAAATGTCGCGTATTACGCTCGACAAAAAAAAATTACTCGAAGTAACGTGTTGACTCACAGTAGAGCAGCTCGTAGTCTCCGCTGTTGCTGCGCAGGTACTGACCGTCCACAGACCAGTCCAGATGAGTTATGAAACTCGAATGTCCCTAAAATAAAAATAAAGTCCGTATATACACGCGCGCGCGTTATCGTGTATGTAAATAAAGTAGTTGCGAGCGTTCTTGCGTTTTTTTTTTGCTGCTAGCTTATGAAAAAAAGTACTAAATAATCAGTGTTGTATTGTACTCGTACAATTCTATTCGTCTATATCATATATTGCGGTACTATATATGCAAGCCAGTGTTCAACGTGCGTGCTGTAAAGTGCCAAATAAGTAGATACGGATTTAGTAGCTACGCAATTGTATGAAATGTAATATACGTTTCTAGGATCGTGAGAGAGAATAAAATTGGAGACACATCGTGTTGCGTTCTTGTAATAATTTGTTGTTTTTCTCATGAAATTCAAATACGTTTAAGATTTCAATTTCGCACGCAACGCGACGTCTCGTTTTACGGTTTTGGTTTTTTTTTTCTTTTTCGAGTGACCGAGAAACACAAGTCTTACTCCGTGCCTTCGAATCCGCTTTGGCTAGAAATGGAAAAGAATCGTATTTATGAGTATCGTCAGACTCTTTGCGTCGAATATTTGCGAGATTAACTTGCTGACAAAGCTAACACACTTCGTCGTATTTTTTATATGTCAATGGATTACGGAGAATGTTTTGTTGTATATTTACAAGTCTTCGATCGCTATCTGAACAATTGTACTTTGTAGCGAAAATGTTTTTAACGAGAAAATAATATTGTTTTAAACAATTAAACATGATGGATTGCGAATATGTAGATTTAAGGATGTTCTACTTTTGTTACACTGATAAGTAGAGGCACAAACAGATTTAAATCAATTGGCCTAAGAATTCCAGAAATGATGCTGAAAACGAAGTACGAATAATCTCGCACGACGGCTGTTAATTAATTTTTGTTACAAATACTTACCATGCATCTTCCAACTCGGCTATACTTGGTCGCATCATCGTTCACTTGATAAATATAAATATAATTATCTCTGGAGCCAAGTGCGAGCAAAGAACCGTCGGGAGAAAATTGAACCACCTAAAAAAAGACAGAGTTTTATTCCGTTGTAATTAAGTGAAAAATCACAGTTTTTAATAGAAATTAATATATCAAAACATTTTGTTTTTAAATATATGCAACAAATTATATACCTGAATAGGTTCGGAGCCATCGCTGTGATGCGTGTACAATTCTCGCGTCTCGCTATCAATCGCCAACCATTTCCCGGACACGCAACCGACGACTATGATACTGCCGTCCGGTGAAAACGCAATGCTCTGCGCTTGTTCCTGAAGAACAACGCGAGAGAAAATTGCACAAGTTAATTAATTTATTTTTTACTTATTTGAACTTTATTTTGTCAATTTCCCGAACGTGTTTATTTTCTTCCTTCCGGGAGAGATTTATAAACCACGTACCCCAATGTCTTTGCTCCAGACCACAGTGTGGCTCAGACTGTCCCACATCTGCAACAATCTGTCGTGTCCTGCGGTCGCGAATTGAGGCAAAGTTGGATGAGCCGCGAGTCCCCAAACTTCCTCGGCGTGGCCCAACATGGCCGGATTGAAACCCATCTCCATGTCGCCAACTAGAATGCAGTTTCTCGTGGTGCCGACCAACAGCTGACTGCCTCTTCCTTCCGACAGCGTTCTGATTCCTCCGAAATGATCTTCGATCTGTTGAAAATAAAACTCTCTTCACTTCTAACTTGACGTTAGCAATAATCTGAGTTGAAAAGTCGCGCGAATACATTTCTTCTTGGAAGATTTGATTTTTGTTCGACTTGCCTGAGCCTCGGATCCAGTTAGATTCAGCGACGAGTCGAAGTACACAATTCTGCCGTCTTTGCCGCCTCCGGTGATGATGTTGCCGTTCTTGAGAACGCATATGGAGAAAATCGAACCCTCGTGAAGATTTCTCACCACTCTCGCGATCGTGTTAGTGCCTAAAATTACAATATAAAACAATAAATACAAAAAAAAACATAAAAAAAAAAAAAAATTATAAAAGTAGAAGAAACTGGAAATTCGAATTATTTAATTAGATGATCGTACCTCGTGCCCAAACGATGACGGTGCCGTTGCTGTCGCCGGTGAGAACGTCGCCGTTTTGATTGAACGCGACGCAAGTGACGTACCTGGGCTTGTCTCTGCTCTCGAAGATGCCCATACGCTTGTACAACATGCCGCCGTTGTCCAGAGACCAGAAGGACACGTGTCCTTTCCCGCAGGAGACGATCTGGTTCCGTTCCAGCGGATGCCACTCGGCGCAAACCACCGTGTCGACGGAACACTGTAATCAGCGGAGTTTCATCGGCCGTTAAATGGCCCGTTTCCGGTGCAGGACGAGGCAGGATGTAAGTGTCGACGAATTCACGGTGTATGTGTGTCGCGAGAGAATTTTCCCGATCGCGTTATTACCTTTGTCTCGGTCACTTTGCTGCCGCGATCGCTCTTCTGCCAGTCCCAGATCGATATGTTGTGATCCGACGTCTCGTCGATCGCGCACAAATAATTCCCGCCGTCGGCCTTGGAAAACGACAGGCAGCAAATCGAGCCGTCGAATTCGCCGTTGCCGATCACGCTGAGAGTCGTCAGACTCACGGAATTCCATATACGGATGTGCGGCTGAAATCAAAACAGATTTCGCATTTAACGAAAGTTGTTCAGCTGCGTCTTTAATGCGAATATGTTACAAAAATTTTCAATTTTTTTTTTACCATAGCGTCTCGACGATCCGTTCCGCAAACTTGTCCCGTTGCGACAATCAATTTGTTGGGATGAATCGCTATGCTGCAACGAGAGAAAGAACGCGTCACGCGTTGCGATTGTTCCATAATTTTACAATTTTAAAAAACAAATTCAAAAGCAATTGGAATAGGAAAAGAATTTTGCGAAAATTGCGAAATATAATATTTCTCTCAATGAGTCGTCGATTCGGAGCCAGCGCGACATTTTTTTTTCTAACGGAAGAGTTTTCTCTTTTTTTCTGATAAATGAAATAAACAATAATAAAATTTTCGCGCGCGAAAATAAATTGCTATTCGGGAAATGCTGTGTGTTCAAAATGCAAAGTTTTCACTCACCACTTGACGTCGTCCGTGTGGCCCAGGTAATGCCTCTGGCTATGCTCCTCCATGTTGTACAGAACAACGACCGCCGCGACGAAGTACACTATCTCGCCGGTCGGCAGCAGGTGTAAATTACTACGGCAGTCCCGGCCCCGGTATCCGTAGACCCAGTCGAGCTTCAATTTGCTCTGAGGCGGTGTGCTAACCTTGTGAAGATCGTAGGACTCCAGCATGGGCGTCGGTACGTAGAGAAGAACCGGCCGGCCGCGCAGGTACATGCGGACGGTGCCTTCCTCTTCGTTGTACTGCATATCTCTGGTACTGCGAAAAGAAATAGCGCTCGCTCTACAGTTTGATGATTTTCACTTACCTCGGGACTGTATCACGTCCTCAGTCGCGTTAACTTATGTCCCAGAGGTGTGCTTATGTCACACATTTACTTTACTTATTTTTTTTTTTTCTTAACGGAAGATCGTATAAAATGTTTGTTAATTAATTGACACTTTAAATTATATTGCGAGATTTTCAATTGTAATAACATTTTTAATTTAAGTAAAAACTGCACTTACTGGTGGAAGAGTTTTTTGTGTTTCAAAGATCCAAAACAAAAATTCTACAATAGAAAGCTAGCTTCACATCGAGACACACACACTCGCGTGCTAATCAGATTCTTCCGCACGAAGAGATTGAAATTCTTCTCACGTGCGTCGTTGAAAATCGACAATGGGGAGCGGCTAGATTTTTTTTTTTTTTTTTTTGCGCTCCGTGCGAATTCCCACAGGTGAGTTTCGCGATCCGTCCGTTTCGCCGACTTCTGCTTGACGCACTTACTGATCGCGTTGCTCGCGCTACACTGACGAGAGAATTCGCGGACTTTCCGTGTCGATGAGGTCCGGTAAACGCGACGAGTGACTCACGCCGGCAAATGAGTTCGACTTTATTACTCCGCGAAGCGTATTGCGCGGCGCGCTCGGTTACGTCATTTTATATTCTTTTCTGTTTTTTAATACACGTAGGATTCTCTTAGAGTCGGATTTATTTATTTATATAAAAACTTCATGACCGTCAGCGATACTCGGTTCGTTTCGGAGCGCGTAATCTTTTCAAGGCGTCTTCTCTCATCGACGGTTGCGGACCTTCCGGTTGCTTTTCAACATCGTTTGTTTCGTTGTTTGAATTCGACTCGTCAACAATCAACACATCGAGTAGGGGAAAAGAAAAAAATTTGTCGTGCAGATATACAATTTCATGTTGTGAGGATTTTCAGCTGTTAAATATGAATATTCCACGAGTGTGTGTTTCAACAGAAATATATAAATTTTCGATTCCCACAGCGATGTCTACTTGTCTCAGGTGCTGATCAAGGACTCGTTTCGCGATATTGGGAACGAGGAGAGTCGCCTCGTAAAGTCGTGAAATTAATCGTCGAGTGATATTTTTAATTTTTTAATTGCGCCTATCTCTTGTGCGCAACAAAATGTATAATCTTAAGAAACAAATTTAATTTCGTTAATTTCGAAATTTATATTATCTCAACGACGACGTGTAATCTTGAATTTTTTAATTACTTTTTTTATTATTTTATTTTACTTAATTACTTTTTTTATTATTTTCTTTTTTTAATGTAATTTTTATAGCGCGAGAGAGAAGCGCCACTCGATAAACAGACGTCATGGAACGCGAATCGCAAAGCGAATCAATCTAAGACAAAACGGAGCGGAAAAGTAAAAAAATCCTGTTTCTCACAGTAAGACTCGGAGCTTTTCACGTTTATTATATCTAATTAAAATCGATTAATATTAATATTCGTAACGAGTGACTGAAAAAATAACGACGCGACGAACAAAATTTCATCAAGCAGAGGACAAGCGTCTTTCCCACGCCCCTAAACAAATCGATCTTGTTTGCGCATTTTCATGGCACATTTCATCGAATCGATAAATTCAAATGAAGCTCGTCTCGTGTTCGCCTCGCTTTATCACAACCGAGCGCACGTTTAGCGAGCACTTCCGAATGCATTTTTGACGTTGTTGTGACGCGGAAAGGCAACAGGTACGAAAAGGCGGACACAGAGAGCCACGTGGTTAACGGCTCATTTAACGTCCCGAGTGCGAAGCTCGCGATTGCGTTACCGAAGAAAGTGAATCGCGATTCCTGCTGTTGCACAACCGTGCGTGCTGCGATTTCCTGGTGCGCACGACGGTCACGGTGTCGCGAGCACGCCGGAAACGTCGGCAAAAAAAAAAAAAAAAAAAAGAGATATGAAAAATAAGCCGCCTTTGAAAGCGCCCACGCGATCGTGTATACAATATCAAAAACCGCATAAATAACACACAAGTACAAAAACTCGCGACCTCGCGTTTGCGGATAATTTTTATAAATTTTTTTGTTCACAAAACAGCAAGTAACAAACTTGGATATTTCTGAGATCAATCGAAGCGAGCGACAATTCGAATCTAATTGCGGCGCAAAAAATAATTCCTTGACATTTGAATTAAAAAAAAAAAAAAAAAAATGCAGCTTTCTCCCGCGCGCGCGCACACACGTCATCGCATCGGAGAAGGGGATGCGCGCCTGTTTGAGTTGAATTTTTGCCAAGTTGTTGTCGGCCGCGAGAACACGCTACGCGGCGCATCGGCATTTGCATGCTTCGCAGGTCGAAGGTCAAAAGTAACGCATATTACGATAATTAACGGCTCATGCCAGAGTGCGGTGATAATACGTGCCTGTGCTATACGTGAAAATACGCCGTGACGCACGGTAACTAACCCGTTTAACGGGCTTTTGTGCTGCAACCGCACGATAGAACAGATATGTATACGGAAAGCGTTGAAAATTAGCGTTGGTGCGAAAGCGAACTTGGCGCGATGAGTTGTGGAACTTTTGCAGATTACGGCGCTTTCGAGAGTTGCGAGATATTTATTTTAGCAACGAGGGAATAAACGCGCGCGAAAGGCGCCAAGTGCGGCGCGAGTTTTCGTTTAGCGAAACGCGACGTAATTTTTTGAACGAGAGTTTTTCAATTTGTTAGCAAAAAATATTAAAATGTTCTAGTCGAGGAACAACAATTTCTAAACTTTACTCCGAGAAAAATACACGAGCACTTTTTCTCAGAATTGCACAGTCGACGAGCCAATCAGACGAGCCAATCAGACGAGCCAATCGACGCTGTCTCGAAAAGAAATTTAATTATTATTTTAATATCCTCAACGTTCTTATATATATATAAAACTTTGCGAAATTATTTATTTACCTTCCAGACTCCGCGAAAACTTCCAGCTCGTTTGCTCGTTTTATAGCGGCGAACCGCGATTCACTTTCACGATCGGCGAGACGATCGGGATTTAACCGCCTCCGATCGCGTATCGCGCGCGCAGATCGTGTGACACGACAGATATATCACGGCGATAAGCCGCAGGAAATATTACACGTGCGTTTAACGTCCCGTTTTCAGCGGGTCTCTTTACCGCCGCGCTCACCTGCGGAGGGAAACGAAATTGCTTCCTGTAAAGGCTCGTGGGGCGCGCGCGCGCGCGCGCGCACACACGTGCAAACGCGCGGCGGGACGACGTGCGCACGTGCGATTTTGCGCGAACAAGTTCAGGTCTGAAGAGAGTGCCAGAAGAAAAAAGCCAGAAGAAGGATTAAAACACAAAGTTAATCTAATCTATGAATAAACTTTGCTTGCTTTTTATTTACCCGTGCTTGACGTTGTTCATCACCGGTGGCTTGAACAGGTTGAACAGCGACTTGGTGGACGCGGACAATCTATAACGAACGAAAATGCAAACGAAAACCATGCGGTGCGGAAACACAAAATAAAATTAGAACGGGAAAGAAAGGGAGGGCAGAAAAAAGATTAAATAAAAAAAAACAAAAAAAAAAAAAAATAGATCGAGCGAGATATCGGCGAGCGTTCTCGAGTTTCGACGCCGATTCGACGCGTTTCAAGCGTAATTTCAAAAAAGAATGAGGACAATTTCGTTTCTCTTGTCACTCGCCCGATTGAATCATTGACCAAAGGAACGCGAGAAATCGGCGAAGGAACGCGCGGCCGAAATCGCTCGAAATGGGAGGTAAGCGAAGAAATTGGCGCGGTGAGAAAACACTCATGTGTTTACGTGTCTGTACGTGGTGTATGTGGCGCGTGTGTGTAAAAAATGTGAACAAAAATCAACAACAAGTGGCAGGCAAAAAAAACGAGTGCGGTTTTTTACTGTTTTTGTCATTAGCACTGACCTGGTTCCGACGAGCTGGGAATTACTTCCCTGGTTCTGCGGGGAGTGTGTAAAATCGCCGGTGGACGACCATCGCTTCGCTCGTCGCAGACTGCTTTGGGGCGGCCCGTTCGATCTCGCGGTGGGCGATCTAGAGACATCGAACGTAATATCTCGTGACACAGGTGCGCCATGCGCGCGCCGATCCACGCGTATACGATCATCGCGCAACATCGCAAATAATCACGCTAGCAACACAACATCGAAGAAAAAAAAAGAGATAGACACATATATGTATATATATATGTACATATATCGCTACTAATTAACAGCGAGCGTTCTCATTAGCGTGGCTCTAAATACGAACAACATACGTGCGCATGATACAGGGTTACTTGTTGTTGTACGATTGTTATATGCAACACACACACAAAATTAATAATATGCGAACAAACGAGCAACAACAAATCGTTAGAGTGGAATTTGCAACATCGGCGATGCGCGAGAAATCGCCGCTTGAAATTCGGAATTTCTCTCGTCCGCTCGCTCTCTCTCTCTTTCTCTCTCTCTGTCTCTTCCTTTCCCAGTCACGACGTGGTGCGAAATGTACAACAATTTATCCTAAGGATCGGTGAAACGTGATTCGCGCTGAGCGCGCAATTATTAATTTGCTGCTCACCTGGCGACAGGTAGCGGAGTTGCCCTGGGGCTTGGCGATGGCACCGGAGAAACGCTACTACTACTAGGACTATCCGAATGCAGAGAGCCCGTTGACTGATAATGGACGGATCTCCTAAGGAATGCAAACTAATGTAAATAAACGAAGTAAATGCGAACTCGTTAAGAAAATTCCTAGAAATAGAAAAAAGCCGCAAAGAAAAATAACAGCATATATATATATATATATATTAGTATTAATTAGATATTTAGTATTAATTAGATGTAATATATATTACGCTATATATATATATGCGCTAATTGAATATTTATACTCGATGTAAGTTCTTTGCATTTTTGTTATGACGAGACGCAAAATTCTTGGGAGGAGTCAGGTTTTAAATGGACTCTCACCTCTGTGGGAGTTGAGAGGGATGAATGTAGCTGACAGGACGTCTCGGACTGGCCGTCGCGTCGCGCACGTCCTGCGACGATCCCGAGGACGAGGAGTTTCTGAGACCTCCGGTCTGGCGCAGTCTCAAGTCCTTCTGTGGCACTGAGTTTTGACTACCTGAAAGCACAAAGTTTTTCCGAACATTGAAAAACAAACAAACAAACAAAACAACTTTGTTTCCGCGTCATAGTTTTTTCGTTACTTTCGCTCGTACAATTCAATGATCTCGACTAAAAAAGTCGTCTCGAGCATCGCGGCGCGCATATATTTCGCAAATATATCCTCGGATCGAACTTGAATTGCGAATATCGCGCAAATGAACACGCGGATATAAGTCAAACGACGTGCGATCAGTTTCAATAGGGATGCGAGTTAACGGTGTGTGTACACGTGATATTCGTTCCGTGTATTTGAGCGCGTCTTCCGCGTGCATTACAGTCTTCTCGCGTCCATCATCAATCGCGCATCAAGCGCTACGAGCGCTGTCGACGCGATAATTTATGCACGTCAGCGATTCTCGTTTCATTTCCTGCAGATCATCCCGTCGTCGTCGTCATCGTCGGAGGGATCGGAGATATTCGCGCGATGCTTCGCCCGACCGCGAGAATGCAAAAGCGGGGAAATAATTAAAAAAACGTATTCGCCCGGGTCTTGATTGCGCGAGAGAATTAATGAACTTGCGAGACAAGAATTTCTTCGTTTTCCTCTCAATCGCGTTTTCTTCTCCGATTGAGAATTTACGTTCAGCAACACTCGAGTTCGCGAAAATGCACAAACGTTTACTAACTGAAGAACGTACGAATGTGCGATATCACACGTTTATTCTTTCTCTCTCTTTCTTTCTCTCCTCGACGTCGAGAGCAAATTCGACGAAACCGTCCGAATAATCGCGAACACCTCGCCTTTTCCCAAGGTCCGCACGAAGAACAATTTACGAATCCATTCACGTTCCGTGAGTGCGGGGGTTTCTCGATTGGCGCGGAACCGAAACCGAACGTGACCTTAAAAGCCGCGTCGCGTGCCAACAGGTACAACAACACACACAGCCGCGTCGCCACTCGACGAGCTTCGCTTCACCCTCGATCCCGCGCAAAGAGGGCTTCCTCGCATCCGCGATTTCTGTCGTAATCGCGTTCGTTCGAAACTCAATAGGCAAGGATAAAACTCGCCCGGAAATGCATGCCTGACTTGAGTTGCACGTCGCGATCGCGGCTCGACGTATTAATCGGCGCCCTCGTATCCGCATCTCGAGCTCTTTGAATACGCGATACGATATTACACACACGTCCGGATGAAATGCCATAGCTTCGACACGATATAGCAAGGTGCTTCGAGAGAAAGGAGAAAGAGAAATAATGTGAATTATGATTGATTATCGTAATAATAAATAGCTTATTATTATCAATTACTTTTTTTTTATACGATTGATTATAGAGTTTTACAGCTCGCAATATCGGCAACATAACGCGATGATAGAGAACAATTGAAATATTCTCGTTCGGCGATTATCGCGAGAAATGAAGTGAACACTGGCCTGGTTACGCGATAGCACACGAGCGAGAAGGTGCGGCTCGAATCCGATGGTCGTTTTACGGGGTCGGCACATCGATCACAGTCGAATCGACTTTCCTTTTACTTATCGCGAATGTAACGCGCAATCTTGATCTTATATCCATTATATCGATCTGCGATTATCGCGAGACGTCGATCGTCGGAAAGACTCGAGTGACTTTTCGGATCCCAACACGGATCGTTAATTTACATTCATTAACGCGAAGATAATATTTATCGACATATAATTGCTTCTCTAAATTACTTGCCGGGAAAAATAAGATAAACGAAACAAATGTCCAATAAATAAATAAATATTTGTCCGACAAATAAATATCTTTGAGTAAATAAATATTGATCCGCTGAATAAATATTTTTCAAGAAATCTAGCGACGAGAAATATCGAGGGATACGATACAAAAACTAGGTGTTTTTTTTTTTTTTTAAATATTGAGAAAAGCATCGAATCCGGATGACAAAGGATTAAGGCGCCGTTCCCGGGCTTCCATAATCGATGTCGCGCAGCTTCGATGCGTTCCAACTTACTCCTGAGAGGTACATGGCCGTTTCTTAAGGGCGAGGACACCAATCTCTCGCTCCTCCTCTCGTTCCTCTCGTCCTCCCGCTTATCCCTTCCTTCGAGTTGGGCGATACGCCGTAGCGCGTCCGCCAGTGTAGCGCGAAGACAAACTATCTCGTCCCTCTGCGCCAAGGATTGCCTTTCGAGGTCCGCTACTCTGCCCAAAAGCGATCCCGTCTCGCACTCCAGCATCTCATCTGTAAAAGGAAATTCACCGTCTCACACAGAGTTGCGACGACATCGCAATTTGCTTCTCTGACAATGGGATTTATTCCCAATGGGGGATTTTATCTCTTGTGGGAGGGAGTTTATCTCTCTATCAACCCTCGACTGACCCTCTTTAATCTCTCTCTCTGAGACGTTTCTATAAATCTGTTTTTTTTTCGGACTCTACTTGTTTACAACAGTTTGCAATACAAACAATATCGAGAGCTGAGAAATACAACATTGCTACAAACCGGGCAAATACATTTTCTCTTGTCATCGCTAAGTGTTTTTTGTTGTTATTGTTATAATACAGCACGAAGATAAGTGCGAGAGTTTGAAATTATCTCTCCGATCAAGCTCGGCAACTCGTCGCGCGTAACGTAATTCATCATATCGCGCACGTAAGATAAAGTCTTAATGGTACGGCGATGTGCACAATTTAATTGACGGAGCGAAGAAGCGCACGCGAATATAATTTTCGCTTATCTATCGCGTGTCGAAAAATATGTCCGCTTGTTTCAATCCGCTTATTCCAATCAAAAATTGAACGAACAAACAAACGAAATGGGTCGCGCGATGATTTTTAACGCGCGGTCGAGATAAAAAAAATTGATCTCCGCAATACCTCACGCCGCCGGAGTCACGTGGTTTAAATCTCTCATGAATTGTGCATGCGTGTGTCGAGCGTTTAATTTTGCATTACTATCTCAGGACCGATCTGCCGTACTCTATTTCATACAAACGGCGAGCGCGGCGCGGAGTAACAGGAAAAAAGCGCCGCCGCCGCCGCCGCCGCCGTACGATTTACCGCCGCGTCGCGTCGCCCGGCGATTTACAATTCATGGAATATATTAAACAAAAACTCGGCGTCTCTCTCTAAGTCACGTTCCGATAAATCAACGCTACACGCGTGCCGTTACTTACGTATTCGCGCTCTTCTAATGCAATGCACATCGGCAATTAATCACCTTTGCACGGTGAATGCAAATCGCGCGATCGCGAAATATCGAAAAAACGATCGTGAAATTAAAGAGAAAATAGAAATTTCTCTCGCGATTGCTTTTCATTAATTTTCTTCTTGAAAATGTTTGCTAATTTTGTTTTTCTTGCAATTTTTATCCGCGACTTTGCGTGAAATAAAATTTCAATCATTTTTTTTTCGTAAATTTTCAGAAAAAGGTTTGTTGTTTTTTTTTTTTTTTTTTTTTTTAATTTATTCGCCGCAATAATTTTAATTGGTGCGACTTGTTTGGCGAAAAAGACGCGGGGCATCTGAGAAGAAAGTGCTTAAAATATTTTTTACTCACGCCACGCTTGTTCCGCCTCGTCGATGGTGTCCATCGTGTCCGGCGTGGACATTGCGATTAGCCCTCGCGATGACCCCGAGGTATTAATACGTTATTCAATTGAGCTGATTAACGAGCGCAAACAGTGCCAACGCACTCCGCACCGCCCGCCGTCATGTCTCTCAGTTACAGTTTTCAACGATTCTTCCTCTCTCGAGCGCTAACGCGCATTATTTTAAAATTCGTTCTCCTTCGACGATGTTTCTTCGATTACACTGTCTTTCTAGCGATGCGACGCGTCAGCTCGCACGCGACTTAAGTGACTTCGGTCGTACATCTGCCAGCGGACAGAGAAGAGTCGATAAGATTTTTGTGAACGAAACTATGCGAACGAGCGGACGCGGTATGCGAGGACGAGAAGAGAGAAACGAGGCGACTAAAGGAATGTCTTTCGCAGCGAAACGCACTATACGCACGTTAATTGCGGGCGGAAATTCTGCGGACTTTAGCAATTGTTTTGGAGACAAAGGCGAAACTGTTCTCGCGCGAAAATTTGCGCGCGTTCAACCACCGGATAATTTCACGTCGTTCTATCTTTCTTTTCACGCGAATTTAATGTGGTAATAAAAAAAAAAATTACCATTTGTTTCGACACTAACCGATACTCAACGTTACGACGAATTCAAAGAAAAAAAAAAGACGAACTCAAGAAGTCGCGATACGATATCGAGTCGCGCGCGCGTGCGAACACAACAATTCACTATATTCCAGCGAGCGTCGCGATAATTCGAGCGACAATTAGCGCCTCGCAATTAGCACACATCACGTCGTCGCATTAGCGCGTTCGTTAAAATGTTTTTCAGTAAGACGTAAGCGGGAAACGAGCGCGCGAGACCGTTCCCGATGCGAAACGCAATTTCCTACCGTCGATACTAAAACGCCGAACGAGACGAGAATTCGATCACGCCGAGCGCGTCACGCGCTCGGACTTGGCACGCGGACGTTTGACCGCGTGACGACGTTTTATCAAAGCCAGTCTCCGTGCCGCTGCAAATTTTATACGCGCGTATGTGCTTCTTGTAAAAGTGATGAATTAAAATTCATGTGCGATTTCATGTAAATTGCATACATAACGTTCCTCGTGTTTGACATTTATAAATAAATATGCATTTCTGACGCGTGTACAAACTACAGTTAACCGCAGGACGTTACGTTTTCTTTTAGCCGCGAATTCAAACGCGATCTAAAGTACACAACACAACACAACACAACACACATTTCTAATTTGCATAAATCACATCGACAAGAGATCTCTCTCTCTCTCTTTTTCCGCGCGCAATGTAAATCCGAGTGTGTGTGCGCGCGTGTGTGTGTGTATGTGTTAATGACGCTAATAATACCGCGAATATGACTTTTGCACTTAGACCGCGCTTGATAACGACAATAGTGTGCCGGATATTATTTATTGCAAATAAAGCATTCAGCTATTTAAACGAAGCGTGATATTCGCGGGAGCACGTACACGAGAGTTACGTAAGTAAGTGTCTACGTGCGTGTGTGCTTCTCTTTTGTGCGCGCGACGTCCCGACGAAAGGTAAATATGCGGTGAATTTCCGTTTTTCCCTTCGTTCCCATCGCTTGCTTTCCCCACTGGAAGATGCGATAACCGTTCGACGAGATGAACGATAATCGACCGCGGGCTCTTTACCCTCGTGCCTGACACGATCGCCTCTTTGTGTCTCTCCTCCTTGCTTTGCGGGGAAAAAAGACGCTTCTCTAATCGACACGACGTGTCAACGCGGAAGTACATAATTTGTTTTCCTCGCAAGTTGCACGTTACAAATTTCCGCTTAAAAAAAAAAAAAGTTTATTTATAAAACGAAAAGAAAATTGCGGTAAAAATTGCGAGCGATTGCAAAAAGGTTTGTGCAAAAAGTTTAGTTTTAAAAACAGATTTGTAATCATAATTTTTATACACACATATTTGTTTGCATGTGGCATTTATTTAACTGTGTTTTTTATTTTTCGCGTAAATAAACACGCGCAAAATAATTTTCTGTCGCTTTATGGGTGGTAACAGCTGCGTGCGTGCGCTGATAAATTTACATGTGTTATGTTTCTCAGTAATAACTATTGATAATTCACAAGTAAATGCTCGATTTCTCTTTTTCATTTTCTTTAATGCGCACACGTAAAAATATTAAATAAATGTGAAATTTTATAAAAAAAACATTCGTAATTCAATTATCAAATACACGTAAAAATATTAAATAAATGTGAAATTTTATAGAAAAAAACATTCGTAATTCAGTTATCAAATACGTGTTCTAGTTTAAAAAATGTGATCATTTTCGAAAATTCTGCAAATATTGTCGTTCGGATTATTTTACGTACCATAGCGGAATACTAAAAAAAAATCCAAGGACATATAACCTCTCACGAAGCAAACTCCGAACTAACATATGTTTTGAAAATCAAACAAGATATTTTTTGGAGCACATGTAGCGAACACTAGACAGAACAGCAAGAGCAAAAACAAACAAACTTTACTTCTTCAAATTAGAATCTCCTCGTCACTACCAAAAAAAACGAAGGATTTGTCTCGGATCTACCAAAAAAAAAAAAATTATTTCAAATATATTCCAAACACACACACCGCGAAAAATGAGATCAGTTTCTCCCATGTTAGCTGAGCGGAATGGACTCGCAATAGACCGAACAACCGGCATTCAACAGTCACCAGGAACAACAAAACGTGTCGACGAAGCCACTTCCGCGGTGAGCGACATCGAACCAACCCCGATAACCGCGAGAGAAAACCTTTCACTTATCGCGCGGAAAGGAACGCGCGAAAAGGGAGTAAAAACGAAGACTCGTATGTTTCCGCACACGTTACGAAACTGCCGATTGATCGCGATATCGAGTCGAGGGAAATTCTCATCGATGAAAATTTTTGTCGCGACAAACGCACGTCCAGCGAAAACAACGGCGCCTCTCCTCGGCTTCGGGAAAACGGACTGTGAGTGGTTTTACCCGCGCATCACCGGTGTGTTTCCCCCTCTTCGGTTCGAAGGCTTTTTCGTTGAGTTTTCTTTCGACGTCCGTTTGAAAAAGGGACGTCGCCGACACACGTACTACTCGTCTCCCCGTTGTCGTCGCCGCGCGCTGCTCGTGTAACACGTGTGTTTTCCGTACGGCCGCCCCAACGTTACTGTCAGAGCGGCTACAGCTGCTTAGACCGCGATCAATACGGTCTAGATAGTCGAGATGATCCAGATGACGGCGGGGCCACGCTGTGCCATTGACTGCGGACGGGACGTACGCGCCGCGAGATCGGCCCTCGGTTTGATAAGCGGTGGTTTTGCTGGGCGGATTGCACGGCGGAAATTAATTGTCACTTGTAATTGGTGGCGCAACTGATGGCGTCAGATCTCAAGCTAATTTCGCGGCCGACAGCTCAATCAGCTTTTGCACTACGTATCTTTGGTATCATGGCAAAGGGGATGTCGGAAAGTTTTTTGATTTGAATTTTTTCAACGCTCTACCGGATAATTTATTACGTAACTCTTTTTTTTAGAAATATATCGGAAAAAATTTTTATTCTTTGTAATTATTTTTTAAATTACATTTTTTTTTCTTCTCAATATTTTCGCTCGTTGACTTCTGGAACGTGTGAGGCAACTTTCGTTAAATTTATTTGCGATTAGATTGAGAATTTGATTTGATTCTCTGGCGATTCGCTTTAAAAATGGAAGCATTCTGCGCACATTGGCTCGCCCAAACAATTCCTCGAAACGGTTCCTATCCAATATCGTGCGCGCTAGTCCATTAGAAACATCCATTACATCATTTCTAAAGTGGCACGATGGCCAGCTAACAAATTGACGCGATATATCATCGGGCGCGGCCCGGGGATCTTTGTTGCAAAATTGCGCTCGTTCGAATTAATCGCTTCGCACAGAATTGATTTGAACGGCTTGATGCAATTTAAAAAAAAAAAAAAAAAAAAAAAAAACAGAACATTGCACGAAATAAATTTCTCACAATATTCGATCGTAAAATTGTATCGTTACGTAATTTCCCCGAGAGACTAAATTCCAGCGAAGAGATCGCACGCGAAGCACCGCGATGCAAATCGTGCGTTGAGCCATCGCTCATTCCGAAAACTTTCGGAATAATAAATTGCTCGAAGACAATGCGCAGTTGTCTTAATTAACCCGCACGCACCCGAGCAAATTGTAATTGCGTCTCCCTCTTTCTCTTTGCGGCTTTCGCGAACTTTCGGATTGTATAATTGTACATTGCGCACGTTATCGCGAGAGCAACAATATAAGCGACAAAAAAAAAATGCATTCGGTTTGAAACAATATTGTTAAGTTTCTCTCGGCGCTGCTCGTTTCTCTTTTATGTGTGTGTGTGATTTTCTCGAACTGAAACCCTCCACGTGTGTTGAAGTAATCGACCGACGGTCTGTTATCGACGATAATATTTTTAGACCGAATGCGCAAGTCGATACGTGGGCGGCAATCCGGCTCGGTATACACGGACTATACGGCGGTATTATTATTGTCTAATTAAGCACGTAACTTTAACAACCGAGCGAAACTCAATTGATCATTACGCGTAAATCATTACGCGTCTCGTCTTCCGCGTTACGTCAATACCGCTTCGTTTTCACGTCGAGTGTTCTCTCTCTCTCTCTCTCTCTTTGCATCTCATCAAGCCTGACAGTTTTATTCGACGAATAGTTTTTTATTCGATTTTTCGCCGCTTTGTGAAAAGCGGTTTTTATCGCAATATTATATTTATTGACGAAATAAAATATTACATAAAAATCGAATTCACGATTTCCCGGGACTATTTGTGCCATTGTGTTTTTTTATTCCTTCGGATTTAGAAAGGATTTAATATTTATCTGAATATTTATCTGAATATTTTTTTACTTTTTATTTATACTCGGATCGATTATTCGATAAATTGAATATGCGACTGTTCAACTTGTTCCATTTTATTTAATGATGCGCGCCCCGCGGACGCGAATATATTAAATTTAAAGCTATTTCTTCGAACGAGACGAAAACGGATCGAGGAGTCAATCGAGCGTGTTCGAGAAAGCAATTTTCCTTCTCCGGAAAATCGATTCGTTTCGTTTTCCCTTTGACGGGAAACGCGATGACGAATTTGCGGCGTCTCGAAGGAATTCGCTGTGACCGCGGGAAGGAGAGTCGAACCGACGTACACACGGAGAGACGACGCGACACGGGGAATTTCGTGAAATTCCGTTAACTTCGCCTCGAGACCGATGAGCCGTGCATACGCCAAAGGGGATTCGTGTTGTTAATGAAAGAACAGGATGAGCTCTCTGCGCGAGAGAAGCAGCGGCGCACCTTCGAGTAACGTCATCGCAGCCACCTTGAATGGCTTATATAACGAGAGTTCCCCGTGTAGACAATGCGCGTCTACGTGACGAGTATGCGAGCACGCACATTGTCTCTCGATTCCAGTCGCCATTTTTTTTTTTTTTCCTAACCGCCACGCGTCCTTGCGCGCAATGAAGAGGATATTTCATCGAATTCAACCTCCATCCGCGCGATTTATTTTCATGGAAGAAGCGATTTGTCGTTCGGAAACAGCAATATTGCGACACGCCGCCGTGCCTCGATAAAATTGCTCGCTCGCAAGTAGTAACGAATAATCTCGAAGAATTCTTTGCACGTGTAAAAAAAAAACGTGTAAAAAAAAAACCGAAAGATAAAATAAGATCGCTATGCCGTTTCAATATTCTCCGTATTCCGAGAATTTCTCGCGGCTAGGTTTTCGCTCCCTTTTTTCCGTTAAAATTGTTCTCTTCCTTTGCGACGATTCCTCCCTTCCCCCCCAAACGTAGCGCTTTGCGAGCGTCGTGTGATTACGACGCTTAATTGGAAACACGCTCTAATTATCGCGGCAAAAGAGAGAAAAACATAGCGCGCGCGAGTTTCGTCGCTGATTTTTCAATCAGCGATTCGTCACGATAGCGTCGATTGTCGTCGTCCGGTGGAAAGTGCGCAAAGTGTGTTCTCTTACCCATTTCTTGCCTCGCGCTCTGTTCCGAATGCCCGTTTACGCGCATCGTCGACTCCGGACTTTCCTTTTCATACTTATACAGCGCCTTGATTGAAGACTCTCCGCGTCTGAAAAGAAGAAAAAGAGCCGGTGTATTAACTTGCGCGCGCAATTGCGTTGCTGCGCACAATGCGCGCCGCTCTCTCCCTCCGCGCGCGCATCGCACGCGGAATATCGCACGCGCTACTTCCGATCGCGTCTTCCTATTAATTGTTTTCGTAATTGCCGCGACGAGGTGCGCCATTGTGCGAAATCATTGTACGAAGACAATGAACAAACGGCGTTAAGGATGCCGCAGATTATCGATGTGATCGAAATTACTCAACTCGAACAAGATACTGTGTTCGAAAAAAAAAAACAACAACCTTCGCGAGATAAAACGAAATAAGTAAATTGAAGGCTGGCAATAGTTAAATAACAATTACGTATACAAATGATGCTTTATGTAAAACTTGCTTATTTTTCAAAATCCCTTTTTACTATTTTAATAATACAAACAAATTACCAGTGTCTTGTTAATATTCTTAATTTGATTTAGGCAATAGTTGAGCAACAATTGCGTGTACAAATAATGTTGTACTGATAAGACTTGCTATTTTTAAAATTCTGCCATTTTTGGATATGACGTGATAAATTATTGTATTGCCTATTGATATTTTTAATTACAATATATTGATTCAAATATGTGAACGTTCTTTCGCCTATTCCTCGTCACCGATACCGTAATTCGATTCTCAGAAAGGATACAACACAGCGGGGTGTGTGCCCGTTTGGCCTTTACGTAAGTTCGCACAGCTCCGCGCGAGTAACAAAATCTCATAACTTTTAAACGCGGCGCGCGTTTTTCCGCGGCGCCTTTTTGCCCCGCGAGCGATGAATCGCCGGAGCGATTTCGCTCGAAAGCAGGAACACCAACGACCTTGGCCAATGAAAACGAATGGCGGTAGGTATACGCGATGAGTGTGTGCGTATCGCGCGCAGAAAGATGCGACGGTGAATGTGGGACGCGCGCGTTGCGCCTTTCGTGTTTACAGCCGCTGTAACAAGAAGCCGGGATTTTTACGTGCCGGTATATTTGCCACACGTGATACCGGCGAGAGATTCGCGCTCTTTTTACGCATTCTATTGCAAACTCAATTAAACGCGACGGACTTTAATTACTTCGCTCTCTTATGCGTAAAAATTACTTTAGACTTTTCGAATATTTTTAAAATTTCACAGAATCAATGAAAATCAATGAGATCCCGTACGAATAAAAGTTTTTGCATGTCTTGGCACATTCTTTTGGCGCGTTCCGCTTTCGCGCGATTTCTCAATTGCCCGAAACGCATCGTCTCATCTCGTCGTCGTCGTCGTCGTGTTGACCGGCTCCATTTTTGCGTCTCACTCCGCTTTTACGCGACTATCAGTATCCACTTCACTCGAGCGGGCTCACGAGTGAATGTGTGTCGGAAACGCAAAAGAGATCCGAAGCGCATTATCGCGAACTGGGACACGGTGAGTATATTACTCGGCGAATATGGCCGGGATATATACGTGCCGCACTCGCTGGTTTACGATCTCACTCGCGATTGCAGCTCGGATCGCTATCGTCTCTCGAATCGAAGACTAAGCTGCTCTAATCTACGAGGCGTTTCCGTTGCAGCGGAATTTGCAGAATGCGCTCGAAGCGCATTTTGACGCAATCTCGCCGCGGTATAAGTTTTCCACTCATCTGCATTAAGAAAACGGATACGATAATACATGTGGAAACAATCTTATTCAGTTAGCTAGATCCGCTGAAATAACTCCCACTTTTATTATTGCAATAAAATTTCAAATAATTAAACACTGACTCCAGTAAGTTACGACTTTTTTC